CTATCTGGACACAAGCAAACATAATTCACAATTGGTGGTTTTGTACATATATTTTGCCTTTAAACCTGATCTGTCCTGAAATGTGAACTGTCTCTACTTTAAATATTTAAATATTGGCTCTGGAGCCAACTGACAATTCCCAAGTAAGATCCTCCCTCTATTGTGTGGGCAGGTAGTCCCTCCCGCTACCTGGCCTGATCATCTTAGCAACACTTCCCCAGGTGGGATTGGGCAACTGACTGAGGTAGGTGGAGACCTCCAGGTATCCCACCTGGGGGGAGGCAAAGCCAAGCCTGTGCTAATGGTGCCGCATAGGGTCCAGGGGCTGCATGTGACCATGCAAGGGTGCCCCCATTTAATGTGGGGAGCGGTCATTCTGGTGGATCTGTATGTCAAATTGAGAGCGTAAAGAAACACATCAGAGGTAGGATTCCATTGGTGTAAATGGTCCAGGATCATTCAATGCACAGTGGTGTGCTCACAGCTTTTCTGTAGCAATGCTATGTGTTGTGAATGTGAGGCAAAATAGGGTTCGGGCTCACTTGTCACAGGGCCTTTGTTGAAATTAGTCAATGTATCCAATTTACAAATGTACAGCAGGAATCACACACACACACACACACACACCTTTTCTGAATGTTGCTCCAATCTTTTGCTTTCATTCAATAGAACCACCTGAAACTAAATCAGAACACAGCTACAGGTCCTAGTGATGAGTATAATACAGGATGAATTCCTCCAATGGACTCAAAATGGGGTGGGTGGGTTTTGAGTCCTACACCAGAAAACTGCCAATATAGTTAAATAGATTTTGAAAAAAGAAAAAAAGAAGGGGAAGGAAGATTTGTTTTTCTATAAATCATGTGAGTCGCTTACCTGCATACAGACACACAAAATTGATCAAGGTCACTCACTGAGCATGCAATTTGTAAACTCTGCCATGTAAGTTAAGAAGCTGAATCCCAATTCATGTGCGGGCACAATGAAATATTTATGAGGGTGAGCAGACAAATATTCATGTAGGGAACACATGGGGTATAGACTAATGTTGATATTCAGATTGTGTGTGTGTGTGTGTGTGTTTCTTATGGTCAGATTCTACTTGGGTTTTTCCACTTGGACTTATTTTAAATGGCTCATATTTATACGTAACAGCTTTATATTTATGTTCTGCCTGGTTTGCAGCTGAATTTAAAATGTCATCTTGAATTTTCAACACATGCTGATTGAGTCAGGTGGCAATCTTTCCCTAAGAAAATCCCATTCTGAGTAACACTAAGACTACTGAGAATGTTGTTCTAACTTTTTAATATGTAACACTGTGTTGAGTCAGTTCCCCCCCGCCCCCCCCGTAGTGTGTACCCTAATATATTTCAATAACTTCGCTGGTAATGTGGTTTATCAAGAGAATTTCAATGAATATCCTGCCCAGATTTTCTGCTCATGTTATGTGTGATGCTCCAGTAACTTTAATAGAGTTATGCATTTTTCACCCAATACTAGCGCTCTGGCCTTTGCTCCCTTCTTGATCCTTCAGATTACAGAGACTGAAATAAATCTGTGCCTCGCAGCGCCATGTATCAGGAAGCAAAGTGAGGCAAACAGTAGAAGTAGCCAAAAAAAGAGTTGCGTTCTTTTGAATGTTGTATAGTTTTGTATAGCAACAAACCAAAATACATAGGCAGCCTGTTGCATGGATTTGTGCAGCAACAGCTACAGGGACTTCTTACACAATTCAAGAAGGGCACAGATCTGATCAGCTCCCATAATCAGACCTTTCACCCGCTGAAAGTGTTTGCACTGATGCCATTCGCCGCTACATGTAGCGCTGGGGTCAAAGCTCAGTGGTAGATAAAGGGAACCGCCAATTGTGATGCTGTCTGTGAGGCAGAGGGAATGGCTGCAGTGGTTGGAAGGGAAGGCAGCACTTTCCACTCAGTGTCCTGTGCTCCTAGAGAGCTTCTTGGACATTGCTGGACTTGTGGGCAAAGCCTCACAGTGTGAGGCCGGGATTTGTGGCCATTGCATGGCGCTGTGTCAGATTTGTAGCCTTTTTCTGCACTGGTGAGCAGTGTGTTCTACCAACAACATATGGTAACCCAAGACTGAGGCTCATTGCTCTCTTGGATTTCTTTCACATCCTCCTCAGTAATCGGAGAATAGGCATGTTTTTCACCCTTATTGGACCTAACATTTCTACATCTCAGTAGTCATTTGCATATAATTACCCTCAAGACTTGGCTAGTGGGACAGAGCGGGAGGTAGAGAAGTAAGCCCCATAGCTGATGAGTTTAGCCACTTGTGTGAATGCTATAAGCACAGGGACCGAACAATTTCCCCAGGGCTGGGAGATTCCTGTATTCTGCCTACTGGTAGGGCAGGGTAGGAGGTGCCCAGAAGATCTGGGGGGCTGTTGGAGAAGGGGCATGCCCTCAGACTATCCAATGCCTCAAAAACCAATGCTTACATTTCACTGGTCACTTCCACACGAAACATTTAAAGCACAATTAACACACATGGCTTCCCCTTAAGAATCCTGGGGACAATCATTTCTCCCCACAGTTCCCAGCACCCTGAACAAACTACAGTCCCCTGGATTCTTTGGGAATAGTCATGTGCTTTAAATGTGCTTTAAATGTATGGTGTGGATCTGCCCTCAGTGCATTGTTCCTACATACTATATATATAATTGAAATAATTAAATACAATTTCTCCTCTATGCTTCAGTTATTGGACTGAAACTTCAAATCCTTTTAAAACCTAACAGGGAATATACTATTGTGTTTTATATGAATCAAGTGGCAGGCAAAATAAATACTGGCAATTTCCCCACCATTCTTAGGGATATCCCCCCCCCCCCACATATTGTGCCCTGAATTGCATTCAAAATATTGAATGCAACTTGAGGTTTTTGTAACAATTTGGGGCTTAATGATCTCAAAATGTAGTTCATATAATAGTGTTCCATCATTCAAGAACAAGGTAAAGTGATGCAGTTCCTACTGACTTTGGCAATGGTGGGTTCAAAAGAGACATTTGCACAAATCCTTGAATCTTTGTTCCAGTTCATAAAGTTGGCCTGCCTCCATGTCTGCTCCAGACAGTGAGATCATACAGTTTATTGTCTGAACATCCTCCCACATTAATATTATGTTGTTCATTCTCACTATAGTACTTGATCTACTATGAATTTTTAAGTGTTCTATGCATTAGCCACAACAGAGAATGTATATATTATGGACTGTAAAATAGCACATCAGCAAACTTGAGTGCTACTTAACCAAAGAAAGGTGAGAGAAGAAAATATAACATACTTATTTACCTAACTTCCTAGTGAATTTAGTGCTATGAGTTTGGGTTTTTAAGCTGGGTGCCAGACCCTTCTAAACCCTGGATCCAGCAAGTGTCAGAATTCAATCAAGGCTTCTAATTCTTGGAATAGCCAGGCTAGCCTTCTGGTGAGGTGATAACTTAATGGGGATTAAGGGGCTCAGTGCTAGACGGCAAATGGGTAGGGCCCCTTCCCTCCACAGATAAAGCCAGAGTTTAGAGCAGAAGGTTTGGGGGAGTGTTGTGACCTAGAGGTGGGGCAGCAAGTTGGAGAGAGAGTCAGAGCAACATTTGAAAGCAATGTTTGATTTCTGTTTGAATCCAAGGCTGCAGCTATGGGAGAAATAAGACACTTTTGGGGGTGCCAATACTGTGAATCTATTCACTGTCGGCTCAGGTTGTAGATATGTGTAAAGAAACCGTAAAGCCATCACAGTCTCTGCTGTCCCTCCTTCCAAACACAAACCCTGGATAAGCTCCTGGAGCCCCTGGAAAGATTGGGGTGGTGTGCAACATTATAAGATAATGGCTGATATCTACAAATTATGTTAAAGAGTATTTAGATATTGGTAGGGGTTGGATAAATATTAGCAAGAAAACTTTTTGGTCATTTAGCATTCTATTTACGTGTAAGTGGACAACATTCTCTTTCTAAGCATTTGAAATAATAGAGATGCATTCAGAGGTCCAAAATCTACTTAGAAGCCCTTGAAACAAAGAAGTGGACTTTAACATATTGTGGCAGAACTGAACTGCATAACTACAAGGCAGTAAATGGTCTTAAGTGGAACATAAATAAATAAAGCCACAGCATACAGCTCATGTTGGTTTTTTGCTTAAGGATGGATTTCACCTTGAGTGAGCATTAAGTACAAGCAAAGAAATTTAGGCAGCTGAACACACTTGAATACATCCTAGTTTCAGCAGATTCCAGCTAAACTCTACCGACATTCTTTTTAAATCCAAACAGTATCCTCACAAACCCCTTGCAGGGCCCTGCTGGTATTTTATAGCACAATCCTATGCATATTGGCTTGGAAGTAAGTTCTGGTGAGATCCATGAGGCTTACACTCAAGTAAGGCTGCAATCCTAATGCCATTTACCTAGGAGGTAGCTCCATGGGACTTTCTTCTGAGTAGACCAGGCTAGGAGAATATCAAGATCCCCACTGTATTAGACAAAAACCTTATCTCATCCAGTATCATGTTTTCCACATTGGCCAACCAGATATCTATGTGAAGCCCACAAGCAGGGCATGAATTGCCCCTAATATTACTTTGTCTCTAACTACTGTGAGGTACCACTTTAGGCATATCATCAGAGTGATGGGCCTGGCCATATAAATCAAGATGGCCAAACTCATGGCAAAATAATCTGTACTGTTGAAGAAAGACTTGGGTAATATCATGCTAACCCTTGGGCTTAACGGCACCTTTGTCTTTCTTCAACCAGAAGGGCATTCCCCAGGAGATTTGTGTGCGCTCAGTGACACTTACTTCCAAAGAAACATGCTAAGGATAAGATTTAGAGTATTTTCCCACCAGCTATTTTTCACGCTATAAGAGACAAACTATTAGCATCAGAGGGTGGTTTTGAAAGAAGTAGAATGGTTTCAAGGTGGGAAGAAAGAAGGCCAGGATTTCAGGTAGGATTCTCTCCCACACCTTCCTGGAGCTACTGGGGATTGAACCTGGGAACTTCTGCATGCAAAGGCAGGTGTTCTACTACTGAGCTACAGACCTTCCCCAGTTACAGTAACTATGAAGATTTGTATTCAAGGTGAATGTTCCATCAGTGCAAGGGTTTCTCCTTGTGCAGTGAAGCATTCTCATCCTCCACCTGTGCAACCCTACACTTGTTCTGGGTATCCTCTCAACCGTCTGGAGCAGATGTGGGGATGGTGTAGGGAAGGAGAGTAGGGGAAATAAAACAATAGGGTCTTGGGTTTTTTCTGGGTGACATGCACCACACTGAAATAGAAGTGGTTGTTAATAATAAAGCTTTTTCTGTATATTCATTTAAGCAGTGTTCAATATGGGGTGGTATGCCATACAGCTGCTTCTTAGGTGAATCTATAACCGTCCGACTTCTTTTCAAGCCTAGATAGCTGTGTCTGGCCTAACTATCTGCCTTGCTTCTTCCCATCTTGAAACCATTCCACTTCTTTCAAAACTACCCCAATTACTTCCTCCCCCAGCTCATTTTGGACACTGCATATAATTGTTTATTACTGTCTAGTACCTTTGAGGGGCTATGTAGAAGATTCAGCTAAGATCACATGCACCTCAAATTCATTTTTTATTGAGAGGAAATGTAATTCAATGTAAACCATTTTGTCTTGGACAATATGTCAAGTACGCCTTGACATGGCTAAGAACAGGCAATATAAGTTCTGCAAATATACATGAGCACTGTTTAGATATTTTGCACAGCAGCCTAATAACAAAAACTTATTTTATTGTACATCCAGTGTTGACTCTTATCTGTACTCCCTTTGTGGCCTTTAAACTTCTCAGAAGAATTTTTTTTCCACAATGAAAAATAACCAAAAGGCCTTTCATTCATGAAAATATGAGCGGCATCTGAAAGTCTGGAATATGTAGGAGTAATGTCCTGTTGCTCTATTTTGCTTTTTGAAATATCCCATTTAACCCATTTTCCTACTGAATAGAAGGAAGCATGTCCAGAAAACCATGGAAGATATGGAGCCATATTTTGAATGCCTGAACAACTAAGCACTGGATGTCAACGATTCAATGATAACTTTAGAGTTTAAGTTATTACACTAGGTGTAAGTTATTAAACACTAGGCAAACACATAGACTTGCGCACATTTTACTAATCTGATGTGTCATGTATTGCCCTGACATTGCATATTAAATAGACATGGGACAAGATGGGGATAGGCTGGGAGGGCTCCTGAGCATACAATGGTACCTCGGGTTAAGTACTTAATTCGTTCCGGAGGTCTGTACTTAACCTGAAACTATTCTTAACCTGAAGCACCACTTTAGCTAATGGGGCCACCTGCTGCTGCCGCGCCACCGGAGCACAATTTGTGTTCTCATCCTGAAGCAAAGTTCTTAACCTGAAGCAATATTTCTGGGTTAGCGGAGTCTGTAACCTGAAGCGTATGTAACCTGAAGCGTATGTAACCCGAGGTACCACTGTATACAATCAATGCAGACAGAAAAATGAATATCAGATACTGCAGAAGATATCATTGCATCCCACTTTTTGTAAATGTTAGTTGTGGTTTTATAATTATATATATATTAGGTAAAGGTAAAGGGACCCCTGACCGTTAGGTCCAGTCGCAGACGACTCTGGGGTTGCGGCGCTCATCTCGCTTTATTGGCCGAGGGAGCCAGTGTACAGTTTCCGGGTCATGTGGCCAGCATGACTAAGCAGTTTCTGGCAAACCAGAGCAGTGCACAGAAACGCCATTTACCTTCCCGCTGGACCGGTACCTATTTATCTACTTGCACTTTAACATGCTTTCTTACTGCTAGGTTGGCAGGAGCAGGGACCGAGCAACAGGAGCTCACCCCATCGCGGGGATTCGAACCGCCGACCTTCTGATCAGCAAGCCCTGTGGTTTAGTTAATGCAGTTAATTAGTATATATTAATTAACTGTTTGTATTGCAATATTACCCCTACATATAAAAAGCACTGACTGAAAACTGTTGCCGTTAGGTAAGTCACATATTAAAAATCTTGACACATTGGATATTTGATTAATTGATATTTGATTTTGTATTGTGATTTGATAGGGATATAATGAGGTGTATTTTGGATTTTTGTAATTGGAAACTAATAAAAATTATTGTAAAATAAAATAAAATCTTGGCACAGGATATATAAATATAAAGTTTGATCATAATATTAATTGGCCCAGTAACTGAAGAAGTTGGTCTATATCAACTTTTTGGAGTGGATTTTAGAGAATAGCCTACCACCGTTCCAACAAGACGAATAGTTTCAAATGAAATTCAGTGACAGAAATTCATGAAAGATACCAGCTTTGCACTAGTGCAAAACACTTTCACTTGCACAAGGGCACAGCACCTGATTTTGCTGGTTTTGCACTATACAGCCTTATGTGGTTCAGGATCCAAATAACTCAAGGACCACCTTTCCCCACATGAGCCAACATGAACCTGGAACTTCTCACCTGACACCGTCCCCTGTGTGCCCCCTCTGAGGGAGTCTGAAGGGTTTCAGCACAAGAATGGGCCTTTTCATTGGTGGATCCCCACTTGTAGAATACCCTACTCATGGAGGCATGCCTGGTGCCAAATCAACAATTTTTAGGCAAGAGCTTTTCTTTTTACGCAAGCTTTTGGCCCATCTTTCGTGGGGGTTTGTTGTTGTAGACTTTCCTTTTATATATATACTATGGATGTGTTTTTAGGTTTTTGATCTTGGTTTGGTTTTTTTTATAGTTGGCTTTAATGTCTGTATGATCTTGTAAGTCGTTTTGGGTCATGTTTGTGTTTGGGGGAAGGCTACTAAAAATGCAGTAAAGCAACAGTGGCCCTTCAAAAGTACAAGGAGGAAGATGACATCTGGACTGTGTGAGGAGAATTCCATTTTATTCTGCAGTGGAGGCAGCAATGGTACATGGTTAAGAAATGCTACCTCCTGTTCAAAGGCAGTCCCTGTCTCAAAATCTTTGAATTGCAAAGATTGGCCTCCTGACAGATCAGTTTGGGGGCAATATTGTGTACACCCAAAGCATCACTGCTGGTATGTATATTTTATTTGCCTTGACTGACACCTGCAGTTTGGCATCTGCCGTCTTCATGACTGTACTCTTCTCTCTCCATCCCTCCTGCCCAGAAATGCTGCAAAGTCATTCCTTAAAGGTATTGTGTGAAGATCAAGATGCTATGGGCCATGATAGGAAAGTTGTGTTGCCTGCACAGAGACATGTTGAGTAGTTATTTCTTTCAAGTGTCAGCATGTAGAACTTTTGCACTGCTTAATTCCACTTTGGGGGTACACCAACTTTGTTTCACAAGTACATTGCCTGACTTATATAATAATTTGCCAGGATAACATTTGGTGGAGGATTATCGGCTTTGACTCTCCATTCTAGTCTTAGCAACAAAAACCCAGCTTACGTTTAAACTGCGGTGAGTATCAATCCCTCTTTGCAGGGGCTCTGAAGTAGAAATGTGCAGCTGCGCTCCAGGCCCCCAAACCCCAGCATAACCTTTGGCATTCCAAGGTATCTCTGCATGTGTGGAGTTCCACAGCTGTTACTGAGGTTCTGTCACAAGGGCAAGCCTTAAGGGCTGGAAGGCACATTGATCAATCCCATCTCACAACAAGCACAGCATTTCACAACCTAGCAGCTCCCTATGCTGCACATTACCCAGCCACTGGAACATGTACAAAACCCACATTGGTATGCATACCCAGCATAGATCTCCCCAGAGGACGTCCATCTTCACAGCGCTCCCTGTACATCAGTTTTGCTCCAGGTAGACCCTCCTCATGGTCATGCTGTGTGTCTGCCTGAGCTCATATGGTCTTGATGGCTGGTTGCATAAAAGGTTCCCTTCTACAGTATAGAATATGATGGCAGTGTGTTGGGGAGGGTGGGTGTGGATATTGGCAGTACTGCATACCTAGTCCTGTGTCTGCTTGTCTGCATGGAGACCACAGGCCCCTTGCCTTCACATGCATGTCAAACCATTCTTCCTAAATCACATCACATCTATTGTTCATCTGTTGTTAGGTTGATAGTAAGTGAATAAACCATCTTCTCAGTTTCCTTTGTTAGTCCACTTCTGTGCTGGACTCCATTGGACCAAGCCATCTTGCTTGCTCATTGACTTTCTGAAGTCCAACCTGTCCTCACAAAGTGTCCCTGGACTGTCACATTTGTTCATATGAAAAGCCTTGCATATTTTGAGGCACGCCGTCAGTTGTATAGTCTGAGCACTGAGAGGCGCAGCCAGTTCTATTTGTCACATAATTTCACAAACACCAAATTGGATGAGACATTTAAAATATATATCTGCCAAATCTGAACTATTAATGGGATTTTTCATCTCCTCCTGATGTTGGTCTTGACAAGCCAAAGAATTAAATGAAAAATAGACTTGGCACTGACAAAGAGTTAGAAAAGACAATGTTTTTTGGTGGTTTTTTTTTTAAGAGTTAAAGGGAAAATATTAGATTGAGCTTTATTCCTTTGACTGTAGGGGGAAAGTATTGATATTGCATTTCCCCACCCTTTACTGGGATTGATTATCACTTTTGCTATGGTTGTTTTGAACAGTTCCCTCAGACCCATACTACATGTTACACCTAGAGATCTGCAACTGATACTTTCCTTCTGAGTGCAGCTGTGAGAAAGACAAGTCTGATAATCTGATCAGGAAAGTGGTGCAGGGGTGAGTGGCATTAAACCAGTTTCCCCCTGCACAATTTTCCTGACCTAAATTATCCCCAACGAGCTGCTATTTGCTGTGTATTTGTTTGTTTGTGTGTGTGTGTGTGTGTGTGTGTGTGTGTGTGTATGTAACACAGGGACTTGATCATGAAGCAAATAGGTGTTGGAGAAGGTGGCAAATAGATTGGAAATATAGTGTTGGTTGCTGCTTTCCGAATTAAATTAGCATCCCTTTCCCAAGGCTGCAATTTTTGTGTGGGGGAGGAACCCATTTGAAGATAAGTCCTGGATTTCTCAGGGCAATATGTAGCTTGGCCCACAATGCCAATAATGTCATTTG